TTTTTTTTTTTTTTTTTATAAAAGCTTAATAAATGTATGTCTCGATTGTCGATAGATTATGGTTAAAAAAAAATTTTTGCCATATACTCAACTGGTGACGAAAATTGGAAGAAGACAAAAGAAAAATGAGGCAAAACACACATACACACACAAATAAGAAGATAAGAAAAGATAAAAAATAAGAAGACTAAAATGGAGACAAATGCAAAATTAACGCAGTAAAATTTTCTTTTGGTGAAAAATTATGAGAAAATAAAGTTGGAAAAGAATTGTTGCTTTTTTTTTTAATCTCATTTGTTCATCACTAATGAAATTTGATTTTTTTTCCTTGTTTATTGTTTACTGTATCTTTTTTTTTTCTTGTGATCTTTAATATATCGTTGTTTGTATTGTTTTTCTACTGTTCTCGAAACCATTTATAGTTCTGCATATGTTTTGTCGCTGTCCAACGATAGCACTAAAAAAATGTCACAGGCCAAAAAAGCGCAACAAAGATGGAGCAAAAAAAAATTTGAAGCAAGGAAAGATTACTAAAATGACGACCATAGGCAGAAGATGAAGTTGGGAAGGAAAGAGATAAAAATAAAAGAATAAGTAGGGAAAAAAATCAGTTAAGGCTATGAGTAACGTTAGAGCAAAGAATACAAAAAATTATTGACCTCTTAATATGTTCATAACAACTCAAAAAAAATCATGTTTATACTTCCTTTATTATCGGGAATAACAGTGTAATTAATTTTTTCTGTTTTAAATTTCTCGTTGTTTATTCAATGTGCTTTTTACGTTTTTTTTCTCAACAGTTTTTTTCTTCATCGTCGGTCTTCCCCGTTTTCTTCTCCTTACGTTCACTTTCCCTCCCCGGATCAGTATCCCTCCATTTTAAAGTTCTGAATTTCAAGTGCAATTTTTATTTGTTAGTCTCAATTTCGGTAATGCTTTTATGCGTGCCGGACAATGACGAATTGCTGTTCTAATATGCTAAGCAAAAACAAAACAAGATAAAGAGAAGAAGGAAAGAACTGAAATCAACAATCTATATAAATATGTATGTATGTGTATTGAGTGTATTCATCGATATTAGACGATATTATTTGAATGAATCGTCGCTTGCTGAACAAACAGATAACTGAAATGGTAGTGCTGTCATTGGTATTTATAAAATCAACAAAAAAAAAGAAAAAAAAAAAAAGAAAAAAAAATTCAATCGCTTAACTACTTTTGTTTTCTTTAGAAAAAATAGCATTAAAAAATTGCCAAATATCAACTGTTGTTGTCCTCTATTTTCCACCATTCTTCTTTTTGCGCTGGTAAATTATCAAAGTGAATACAGCGAAAAGAAGGGAAAAAAAAAAGACGATTGAGCGTAACAAAAGATTGTGCTTTACTAAGTTGAACAAGCAGAAATTAAAGAAAAATATTAGCAAAATTAATTGTTTGAAACTCTGTCACTTTAAACTTTTTTTTTCCTACTACTCATAAAGCCTAAAGCATTATAAAACTTAAACCACAATGCTTAAACAGATCATTTTTGCACTTAAGATTAAAATTAACATTTTATTTTCTCCGCAATCATTACTGTACAAGCAGAAGCAAAAAAAAACTATTAAGGCAGCCGTAAACAAAACATAAATTTTCTTTGGAATTAAAACTGTGGAATGACGTGGTAAAAACAATTTATAAAAAGTTAAAAAGAACAAAAACTTGTTTTAATGTTTTTTTTATTTCTATTACAATTTTTTTTGCTTTGTCCCTTTATCAACAAATATTTTCTAAAAAGATATGTCAAATTGGTTACAGGAAATATATTAAGCAAGGATAGCAAAAAAAAAAAAAAGTCAAGACAGAACTAGAGCGACGTAGATGTGGTGTATAATTCAATAAAAACTAAACTGAAATAGGCTGACGATAAAATACTGGTAAATAAGTGGAATAAAATAGAAGCAAAAAAACGAAAAAACAAGCAAGCAACTAAGCCCAAAAGTTGACATCAACCAAGTATTTGCAATTAGTTCTCGTCTAAATAGTCTGATCTTTCTTTAGCTTCAAAAGATAAGTCATAAGTAATCAACAAAAGTAAAACAGAATAAGATGGTACTAATACCGTTTGCATATAATTCAGTGAAGTGATTGCAGTTAAATAAATGGGGGGTTTGATCAAAATAATCATTGAATTTTGTAATTCTGCTAAGGCAAAGTTCAAAGATCAAAAAAAGTGGTTGACAGTTTGCTGGACTGATTGTAGACTAACGCCTAACAACTTTCTAGCCATCAGTTCACTCATTCAACTGTTTATTGATCCTTAAAACTTCTACTAAACTCAACTTTATGCAAACTATTATGTAAATTTTTTTTTGATCACTAACTTCTTTAAGAAATTTGTTTTTTTAACATAAATACAAAAAAGAAATACAAATAAAAAATTTTTTTTTAAAATCAAATTTTAACCTACAGTCACTTTATGTAATATTTGTATTGTCTGAGGTTGATTCAAAGTTTTTTCTATTCTGCTTTCTAACCTTCTTTCTTGTTTGCCGCTTTTGCTTTACTCATATATGTACACTCATACACAACATCCATATCCATTTATCAATGTTTTTTTCGCTGATATCTCGAATTAACTAATAAGTGCTTAATTTTCTCTCATTTCTTGTTGATAAGGAGTTATTTATTTAGACTGTTGAATCAGTGATTTTATGCCAATTATGGAAAGCAGACAGAAGCTTCCATCTTCCTATCTCCCACTGTTCTCCTGCGTGCCTCCTCTTCACACTTCATCAGCGAAAAAAGCGAGGAAACAGGTAAGCAGAATTTTTTTCTATAAAACATAGCATAACTGTACAATGTACAGATGACTTTCTCCTTAATTGAATGCTTAATTCCAGTTAGGAAATAAACTGTACATAGAATTATCACCAAAGAGAACTTTAATGTGCATAATATTTGTTCTGTATCGTTACAACAACACTGTCCGCGGTTTAACAAGATAACATTTTAAGAGAGAGTTTAAACCTCAAATTGTTATTGATTATTGTATGTAAAAGAAAAACGCGAAAGAAAAAAGGCATTTTTCTTTTTAAAATGGCTTGATAAACGCAACTCAGACACAAAACCAGACATCAGCACAGACAAAGATCAGCCACCAAACACAAGTTAGACGGTGACAAATTTTTCTTTGAAAAACTCTCTTCTTTTTCCTCCATAATCTTTTTTTCCCCTTTTCACTTCCACATCTTTAAAAACTCTCCTCACACCAAATACTGCAAGAAATGTATGAAAGCTATTTGAAAAAAACTAGAACAAACAAGTGGAAAAGAGCAATTTTAGAAAAAGTGTAAGTAAAGCAAAGCAAAAAAACCAAGACAGTTGAAGCAGTAATCTTAAAGTTATCCTCTAATAGACTGGTTTTTTTTT